TATCTCAACTTTTCTCTTTTCTGGTTCTGTGTACAATTTGTTTCTTCAACTTTGTGGTAATGGATGTTTCTTGGTTGAGAACTGGTCAGAGAGGTGGCTCTCCCCTGCTGCAGCACTTCACTCTCGAGAAATAGCCATCGTAGTGAAGTGTCTACTTCACAAAGTCCCTTGCGGTGAATCCTTCTCTCAACCCCACTCTGTCCATCTAGTCTCCCCTATCCAGTTTGTCTGATCTATCTGACACTTCCTCCTACCCTCGCTGATACTGCACTTGTCAACATCATACTTCATACATGCCAGGCTGAGACCTCATGCACGTGTGGTACTCACGCTGTTATCTGCGGTGATACTGGCTTCTCTCACGGTGTGAGATGTCTGTACAGTTCATGGCGCAGAGCGGAGAGTGCCGACGACGGCGACGACGACGACGGCATTTTACCATGACAACGCTTGAAACGTCGACGTGATACCTAGTCAGTGGAGCTCCAATATTCAGCATCAGAAATGCATGTCAGTAAGCGCCAAGGTTACAATTTCTATCGTCGTGGACCCATCAGCAAACTAGATCCGCGGCGCGTTGGACATTATGGTACGCTCTCACAAATACAACCATGACAATGAGAGCCGACAACTTCAGCGCTGTACTACAATTGCCCATCGGAACGGGGCTAACTAGATATCCGAGAGCGTACGGAATTCACAGACAACTTTGAAGGGAGCCAAGTAGTCCGAGAAATTGGCTTCACACGCGCACATCTGCATGGTGTGAGTGCTCATTACAGGACCGAATTCTGCTCGAGGAGCGCTGAGAGCTCGTGTATATTTGCCCCGTCCGAGTGCCAGTAGGGGCATACACTGTAAACAGTACCTTCACCAGAAGACAATTCAAAGGTACCTAGGTCATGCTCTCGTCTAGGTAAGGGAATGCACTGTTTCGAACACTAAATACAACAGTCTGGGACCTCTCCGGGGGGAAGTGAGTTTTCCTTGATCATTAAACGATATTGTCAATCTATGGCAATGCAAGCTATTTGGTGGCGTTGCCAGATTCAAGGATTCTCAGCTAAATATGCACTTTCAGCTCCCAAGACGACAATGAGCTTGTGATCTCCCCGAGATGAACAGGACACTTCAAGAATAACTTTGCAGCCGGGGCGACTGACTCAATCTCGAAAGGGAAACTCTAGTCAGGCAGCAATTGGTTCACGTCGGCCGCAAATTAAGTGTTGTGTCCTGCGGTGCCTTTGGTTCTCGACACAATGTCAACCACTGCCGGTGTCGGACCTGTCGACCAGGCTGCTCACTCAAGCACTGACCTGGACCAACGTAAGCACAATAACGGTCAACATGGGAACGCAACACATGCAGTCTAGCAGTGCCGCGCATCAGACAATAAGCAGACAGAGGCACCCCTTCTTCATCTGACTTATATCACATAAATAGCTGGGTTGCAATTCTGACGGTTGGCTTTGAGATATGCAGATTGCTCTTTGTTACTGACCGGATCTTGGTAAATTGTGATCAAAAATGACTGTCATAGACACCAATTCGGCTGCTAGGCTAGACGTCGCAGCCTTTGATTTGATCATTGTGGGGGGTGACACGTCCGGGTTAGTCGTCGCCAACAGATTGGCGGAAGATCCGAATACCCGGGTGCTTGTCCTAGAAGCAGGAACGAACCGTCTGACCGACCCGCGCATCCTAGTGCCAGGACTAGCGCCTACGGCGTACGGAGATCCGGATTTGGACTCGGCCTTTCGATCTATCCCTCAGGTACACGCAAGCAGCCCCGCTGACACTCCCACCGGCTACATGCTTTCTCGACAGGGACAACTCAATGGTCTTCAACTGCTCGCTTCAAAAGGGCGTACCCTGGGAGGATCCTCCGCGATCAACCTCGGCTTGGTCATCTACCCATCGCGGTCGGAAATGAATGCATGGGAGACGCTTGGAAATCCGGGCTGGGGGACGGCATGACATTGAACCCTACCTTTGCAAATTCCACCAGGCGAGTGAGCCGTCCAGCGCAACTCGCGAGTTCTTCATGAGGATGAAATACGACCAGGAAGATTAGGGAAGTAGTGGGCCAGTCCAGGTGTCTTTCGGAGAACCTATACATGCCGTTCCACGGAGCGTGGATGGAGACTTTTAAGAACCTAGGGTATCCGCAGGTAGAAGATCCCATCCGAGGTGCAGGAACGCGACCGTTTGTCAGCCCCGGTGCGGTGGATCTGTTACACATACGCGCAGCCATGCGGGGTCTGCTTATTTCGGTGCAGATGTACAGCATCGTCCGAACCTGCGAGTGGTGACCGGCGCGCTGGTGGTGAGGATTGTTCTGGAAGTCCGCGAGGCTTCTGTTATCGCCAACGGGGTGCAATTCCGTAAGGGAAAGCGAACGTACACGGTCCCTGCGACCAATGAGGTTATACTCGCCGCGGGAGCAACGCAGACTCCACAGATCCTAGAGCTCTCTGGCATTGGTAGCGCAGACCTCCGGTCGCATGGCATCATCACAATCATTGATAATCCACATGTTGGGGAGAACCTTTAGGATCATGGATTAGTATGTTCGAGTGCGAAGTAGCAGACGATGCCCTCAGGCGACATGGTAAGAGACCCAGCAGTGGCTGCGGCTGCCATAGAAGCGTATAAGAAAGACGGCTCCGGACCATTGGGAATGCTCCCATTGGTGTAGGCATTTATGCCTTGCATAAACCTCTTTACAACAGAACGTCACCAGTTGCTCGCGACAATTGATTTTGTGTCGATCGCTCCTGGTAATCTTGCGGGCGCGCAGCAGAAGCAGTATCCGATCCTTCGAAAGCTGCTGGAGGATCTCGATGAACCCGCAGCGCAGTACATCCTAGCCCCGTTCCAGCTTCTGCCCCGCGAGGGCAACGGTCCCAAGGGGCCTCTTCTCAATGAGCCATCCAGGATGCTTCCCCACCATTGTCTCCGCACTGAGCTACCCATTGTCTCGCGGTTTTGTACATCTCCAGTCCGCAAACATCAAAGCAGCGCCGGCCATCGACCATGGCATTCTGCGTCACCCCGCAGACCTAGAGCTCCATGCACGTCACAGTATTTAGACCGAGACATTGACCGAAACCGAGCCAATGGCGTCGCTACTTAAGAAGAAAGGAGCGAGGTTGCACACACTTGAGCGACTGACAGACGTGGAGAGGGCCAAAGAACTGTGTAAGGAACTCGTACTGTCCAAGTGGTAGACAAGTGGGTCAGGTGCAATGATGCCACGCGGTGACGGTGGAGTGGTGGACCCGAAGCTTAAAGTATATGGCACCGCGAATGTGCGGGTGGTGGATGCCAGTGTGTTTCCACTGGAGTGACACAGAAGGCGGCGGATATTATCAAGCAGGACACTTTCTAAGCTTTGGAACAGGGCTGATGGTTATCCGAGTCACGCGGCTTTCGTTTTGTCTTGCAAGTTAAACTTGAGTGGGATGTTAGCGGGATTCAGAGTTTGTTGGTGACTGTGATATTTATAGCATCTAGTAGGGCCCGGCAGTTCTTTGGACGTGGCTCTGATCTAGTAGTAGCTTTCCAGAGGATCAGACACTGAGACTAATACAGTAATAGACCGGAAATCGAGGATCCTACCAAAGACTGAACTCATTATTACCCGAGGATGTGATGTGACATTGAACGCATGCATCTTTATATTACTGCCTTAGGCCGCTAGTAAGAAGCGCAGCGAAGACCTCGGCAGGTTGCATCTGTGACCTGTTTAATTTCTCTTAACTGCACACTCTCCAACCACCTCGTCATTTTGATTCATCCACCAGTGACGCATCCACACAAAGAAGAAAAGAATACAAGGCAAGATCCTATCTGCAGGGTCTTCTAAAGTCAAACTCTCCATTGATTTGAATCCGAACGGTGATCCGGCTGACTTCTCCGGGGTTACGTGTCTTACAACCCCGCATTGCCATCAACATCACTGACACTAAATCATGGCCAGGTTACACTGCCATTGGGAGGCCAAGTCGCTAGTTCGACGCTAGACAGCTAGACATGCTAGAAGTCTCCAACGGCAACGGTGATGGGTCAATCTCGCGAGGGGAAGCCATTCAAGAGACTAAGCGAAAAAAGACTAATCTAATTACCTTTTTCGCAACATAACCTGTTTTTAGGAAAGATTCTGAGTCAGGGCCTATCAGGAACAAGGGGACAACCCAAACTTGACAACATCAGTGGACGCCTGAGAAGCTGCTGGAATTTGAGTGTTTTCTTTCGTCTGTCTACGCTTTGTTAGTGTTGGACTCGGACCAGGGTGATGGACTGTCATTCTGCGTGTCTCACTCTCCCCGGAGACTTTCTTGTTTTTTCTGGCAGTGGCATCGTCTATTACTCAATATGACATATGAGATTGACGGAAAGGAAAAGGTCTGAGAGAAACTCTGCATCCTAGCTTTGACTCTGTTCGTTGCTCATTGGATACAGTTGTACTGACAGACACCTGCCAGGTTACTACCCCGTTGCCAGCACCCAACCTCTTAATTCCAGCAATATATTGCACCCAATCAGACAATCCTCGACGGTCTTGCCACTGGCTTGATCTAATGGACTGTCCAACGTCGTAGTGCCTTAGCTCATGTTCGATAATTTGGTCAGCCAGTTCCATGAGACAAGGCGTGCACTAACCTCGAAAAAGGGAATCCCTTGGCCGCTGGTCCAATTCTACACCAATGTCTATGCACGAACTGGCATACCCCGGATCAGACGGAAATGAGTCTCATTATTGAAGTGCAAGCGAGGCAATCCTCCCGATGCAAGGTCATGACGCATGTGACTTGACACCAGCCTCCAGGATGAGATTAAATAGTCCTGGGATGGTACCTCGAGGTATCTGTCTGATTGATATTTCCTCACCTGCTGTAAGTCCGTCGCTCGTTACAGTAGTAATCGATCGTCTCTCGCTTGACCTTTGTTTACACCCATCACAGTCGTTTATCATCTGATACTGTTTGGTTGCTTCAATGCGGTTCTCTGCGTTAACTTCCCTTCTCGCCTGGGGAGCCATCACCGGTGTCCTCGCGACACCCACCAAGGTCTCCCGGGCACCCTCGCTGGTGGAGCGTGACTTTGCCGCCGTCACCAGCGTTGTCGCTGCCATTTCGTCCAAGGTCGATGCTCTGGATGCAAACATCAAGGCCTACACTGGAGGCGATACGTCCGCCATTGTGGACGCTTCTGCAGACCTCATCTCCACCATCAACGATGGCACTTCCACCGTGGCGGCCCAGCCAGCTCTGAGCCAAATTGACGCTCTGAATCTGGTGAATCCCATCTTGGCTCTGACCAGCAAGGTCAAGACCACCATCAACGACCTCATCTCCAAGAAGAGTCTGATCGTCGAGGCCGGCGCGGGTCCTACCACATATAACCAGTTGCTGGACCAATACACGGCCTCCTCGAACTTGGCTACGACCCTGTCTAGCAAGGTGCCGGAGGCTCTCAAGCAAGTCGCTGAAGAGCTGTCCTCGGGAATCACCTCGGCCATCCAGACGGGTATCGATGCTTATAAGGATGTGGGCACCCCCCCGACCACTACTACTTCGTCGACTTCCGCACCTCCTACGACTACGCCTACCACCACTACTACTGAGACCTCCACTCCATGCGAGACTACTACCACTCCTACCGAGACCTCCACTCCATGCGAGACTACTACTACCCCTACTGAGACTTCCACTCCGTGCGAGACTACCACCACTACTACCGAGACCTCCACTCCATGCGAGACTACCACCACTACTACCGAGACCTCCACTCCATGCGAGACTACTACCACTCCTACCGAGACCTCCACTCCATGCGAGACTACCACTACCCCTACTGAGACTTCCACTCCGTGCGAGACTACCACCACTACTACCGAGACCTCCACTCCATGCGAGACTACTACCACTCCTACCGAGACCTCCACTCCATGCGAGACTACCACTACCCCTACTGAGACTTCCACTCCGTGCGAGACTACCACTACTCCTACCGAGACCTCCACTCCATGCGAGACTACTACTCCTCCTCCTGAGACCTCCACTCCCTGCGAGACTACTACCACTACTACTCCTCCTCCTGAGACCTCCACTCCCTGCGAGACTACTACCACTACTACTCCTCCTCCTGAGACCTCCACTCCCTGCGAGACTACCACCACTACTACTCCTCCTCCTGAGACCTCCACTCCATGCGAGACTACTACCACTACTACTCCTCCTCCTGAGACCTCCACTCCATGCGAGACTACCACTACTACTCCTCCTACGGAAACCACCACCACACCCACTACACCTCCTGCTGAAACTACCACTACCACCAGTGTCCCTGTTCCCCCAGTGACCTCCACCACCACCGCTACCGAGACGACCCCCTGCCATGAGTGTGAGGGCACCACCAGCGTTCCCAACCCACCCGGCCCCACCACACTGACCACGGCCCCTGCATGCACGACTTGCGGTGGTGGTGGTGGTGGTGAGCAGCCCACGCCTCCCGTTGTGGTTCCTCAGCCCTCTCCCTCCAGCCCTACGACTATCGCTCCTCCTGGAGGACTCTCCACCGGCGCAGCCAGCAAGCTGGGCTCGTCTCTTGGCACGGCCATGGCTATTGCTGCAATTGCGCTGTTGCTGTAAATGATCTATCCAATCATGGAATGAGATGGACACGAGGATGAGAAACGAAAGGAAAGGAAAGGATATTAATGTCTACTTATAATTTGGTTTGTGGGGAGGAATGTTGATATGAGCTTGGTGATATGATTGTATCTATTTATCGATTCAGTCAGATAGTAGCTAGTAGCTGGTAATTCAATTCGAACCCGGAATTCTTTTCCAGATGTCTGAAATTCCTCAGTCCTGACGCGGATAGCATGCCTCATACATCACCCGGAATGCACGCCAAAGCCTAAACAAACACCCCTTGCGCGACGCGCACGTATAAATGTCTTACACTAACTGGACTTTCACCACACAGGCCACAACTTTCCTTGTACTCATATGAATTTGGAGAACTCAAGAGCAAAAGCAGAATGTATCTCACTACCCTTGCCCTAACTGCCCTCGTCGCGATCACCGCAGCAGAGGAAACATTCCCAACTGTACGTCCTCCATTCTCCCACTCTCCATTGCAGGGAACTAAGTGTACTTCAGGTCATATTGAAGATGCGAAACGGGCTTACGGTCCTTAGCGGCTCACCAGGGAATTGTCTCACTTATACTGTGCATCAGTGCGTCTACATATGAAGAAAAGAAGTGCAAGTGCTGACGCTAATGACGCGTAGGCCTGTTGAAACAGTCCAGATTAACACGCCTTGTCGGTTTTACGAGTGAGTGCTTCCTCCATCCCTGCAGGATTGTTTTGTTCGTGTTGTACTGATGGATTGCTATTGCTATTGCAGTGAGATTGAATGTGCTGGGAATGGAACGGATTATTCGCCTGAGACTGAGATTCCTGTGGCGGCTGTAACGGAAATTGGGAGTGTGCGTTGTGGGGAGGAGGAAGACCTGGAGGAGAACTAGCATTCTGTCCAATTGTTCTGGGATGGAAGGGATGTAGTTGGTGCTGAGTTGAAAGGCTTGGTCCATTAAATATGCTGGATATCTTGCATCCGTCTAATCAAGATTGTTCATCATGAATTTTGCTCTCAATCCCTGGAAGACCATCCACGCGTCCCATTTCCTCCGCTTGATATCATCCGGTTCGCAGACAAGACCACAATCGGCACAGCACGGCGGAACACTCCATGGGAAGAACCCGTTCCAGCATAGGAAGATGTGTTCGGTGTCCGAGCAAGTATCCGAGCTCATGCTCTCCTGACTTCCGTCCTCGTCGTCACTGCCGCTGCAGGACTCCCAGTCTGAATCCGCAGATGGGGAGCCTTGCACCGGCCGGACGTCTTCGGAGACGCCCTCCCTGCCCAGAACATCGTTCATGGACAACCCAACCCTCTCCACAGCCAAGCACCACTGGAACCAAATCCGTGGAGAGCTCAGCGCAAAATCCGACGGACTGTGTCCGTATCCGTCTCGCAGGTTCGGATCGCATCCCGCCTGCAGCAGGATGCCGAGCCTTGTCTCCAACGAATCACCCTCCAACTGGCCGTGCACGGATTCGGGCCCTGAGAATGCCATGGCCAGATGCAGCGCGCCCTCGCCGAGGTGGGACGTTGCGTGCGGATTCGCGCCCCACTGGAGAAGTTCCCGGAGCACCACGACCCCATGCCATCGTGGAATGCAGGCGTTGTACAAGAGTGGGGTGAGGCCGTCGGCGTTCTCGTGCTCGATGTCACAGCCACTGCCGACTAGTAGATTGATTAAGGCGACGATCTCGTCCTCATTGATGAGCTCGGAGCCGGGAAGGGTATGGCTGACGGTGAAATGGAGGGGGCTGCCGCCGAGAGCGACGGAGTTGATGTCGCAGCCGGCGGAGATGAATAGACGGAGGATACGGTAAAGGGTTGCTTTATGGATGGTATAATTGGTTGCTCGGTACCAGAACGCATTTCGTACGTCGTAGATCGCGTTTGCTCCATCACTAGTCCTTTCAGATGCTGCTCCGGTTCAGACTTCCAGAATGGACCTACCTGCGGCAATGGTTGGGGTCCGCTCCTTCATTGAGGAGGAGGTCACACATCTCGAAGCGGAGGAGTCGTGCAGCGAACTGATCGGTCAGATTGAACGACGCTGGAGATTGGAAAACCTACAGATAAGAGACTCTCGTTTTCCGTATTTCGCACGGTGGGAGAAAAATCCCTGCTCTTCAAAAGTAGCCGTAGTGAATGTATGTCATTGGCCTCGATACATGTAAATATAGGCGATGTCGTCTCGACGATCGCGTAGGCTGAGACATGCCGCGTGATTGTGGGCTTGCTCAACCCGTCATGAAGCCTCGAAAGCGAAACAAGAAGACCATCTTCGGCCACCTGTGGATTGGGCGCCAGGAGAAGAAGAATATCGGATGCGCGGGCGGATATCGAGTCAGCATCTTTGGTCCACTGGACCCGGATGGAGACTTTGCCCGCGGGAGAATCTTGAAGCACAACCTGCGATGATACGATCTGCTGAGTAGGTTGCAATCTGTTTCTTCGTTTGTCAAGGGTACTGCCTGCGCTATGTCGCCTACAAGCACGGGTGACATTGTCGCTCTTCTGCGAGCTCGTCTTGATGAGGGCCGCGGCTTTCTCATGGCTACTCGCAAGCAGACTCTCCAGCTCACTTCGAACCCACTGCACATCTATATCGGACAGCTTTTCATGTCCCGGTTGGGGAGTCGACAACAACTGTAATGCTTCTCGGACCTTGGATTGGAGCAACATCAGAGGCAGAGAAGCGCGTTTAACATCTTCAAAGTTGTCCCAGCTGTCCATGGGAGATTCTGTCTTGTCATCCTGCTTTTCGATGCGTATTTTCATAGCTGTGAGCTGTGCCATGAGCGCGTCGATAGCCTCGAGAGACTGCGAAAAGTCAGACGGGGGTTGACCTTTCTCTGACCAAGCCAAAGGCTTGTCATCGGGATGCGAGTGCGGAAGTATTTGACTACTGTCTCTGATAATCGACACAGCATCATGGATACTATCCAACCGATTCTGAACAGCAAGGTCATTGAAACTGGTCACTGTCAGCTTGAATCCAAGCTTTCCAGGTCGATAGACAACTCCCACCTTCCCAATACCTGCAGATTCATGCTCAACTGTCTCTTGCATCTATCCAGATTCCGAAACGAACGCTCCAGCTTCCCTCCAAGCACCAATTTGACCCTTCCGCCCACCATCTTCAACTTCTGCCTCGTACGACCGGACTCAACATCGAGGTTCTTGGCCACAATAGCCGCGATATTATCATACTCTTTCTCTAGGGATTTGAGCGTCGAGTAGATATGCATAACCGGTGAGGTCTTCTGCAAGCTCAGTGAAGGCAATCTGTCCTGGTACTCATCACAGTAGCGATGGACATTTTCGAGGAGGAATTCCACCTCGTGCATCTCCACCTGCAGCTGTTGGATTTCTGCGGGAACATTCTTCACAGCCGCAATGAGCTGGTACGTTTCCTTGCCGATGCGACATATTGTGTCGATAAGGCCGATGACGGCAGCGAGGTTTGCTGTGAGCGACAATGGATCCATAGATCCATGAAACTTTTGTGAAGTTGCAGGTCCATGTTGAGGATCGACGGCGGGGTACGAGCTGAAAAACAACGAGGCTGAGCATGCCGGAGGCTGAGTCTTCGTGTTGGTGGGTATAAATATCCCCCAATCTCCCACTTAGAACGCGAACATGACAAGATTTCATTTTTTTTTTCTTTTTCTGCTTCAAAGGGAGTACACATTGCGATCAAACGCAATGGATTCTTCCGTCAAATCCCCAGGCTACAATCGCTATGCTGCCGACTTCCTCTCAGCAGTGAACGGCCCCTCATCTCCTAATTACTCACATCCTCCGCCTCAATACACTCCTCGTGATCCGTATTTGATGTACACGCAGGCAGTCCAGACCGCCAACCAAAGCGAATACTATTATTCCCGACCGGTGGCTACACAGGAATCGGCGAATTCAACTCGGCAGGATGAGTACCATCACTACCGAACCAATCCCAATTTCTATCACAACCGTGATCCGCCGCTGGCAGCGGACCGAAATGCATCTTTAGCAACGCAGAACGAGTACCACTGCTATAAAGACCAGCCCGAGTTTTATCACCATCGACGTGATGGCTTGAATATTGCTTCGACAACACCTCAAGGCTTCCCGATGGCGATGCAAGCGGCTGCGCCTACAGCCACTGAGAATAAGCTAGGCCAAGTGGCTCACCAACGAGGCTTCTACTATACTCGACCACAGGCGGGGCCTCCGCCAGCGAGTGGGCAATTTGTCTCACCTGTATGACAATTCTAAAGTTCTGGCATTTCGTATAACTGACGAGAATACTAGCCGGGTTCGCAGCAACAGCAAGCATACACGAGTTCGATGCGGGATGCTTATTATCATCGCCGGGACCAGGGGAATCTACGAAAGTAATGAGGGTACGTAATGTTGTCTTTGATCCATCTGTTTATAAAAGGAAGCGGTATCTGGTATACCTTAATAAGCAATGTCATATCCATCTGAAGCCTAATGACGGAGTTGAGTGCTGGACCACGCACTGTACAAACAAGGCAAGCAATCAGGGAAGCATTGCAACACCACGTATAATATCGACTGCTGTAAGATCACCCATACTTTAGCTTGCTGGGTCTCGCTTCCCACGATCTGCATCACGCCGTCCAGACGAAGAGCAAGGCGCGACATTTCCGTAACTGCAGCCGCAGAACTCCCGGATTATAGGGACCTGTTCCTCATACGAGTAGCGAGTCTGTCCTGCATCCGCGAAGATACCAGAGGTTCTCAATGTATAGCCGCCAGAAAGCCTCAGTACGAAAGACCGGAGACCCACGTGTCTCTCGGGAACTGTTTGCTTTCCGAGTAGCGACATCCCTTGCAGGCAGACGACGTGGACAAGGTGGAGTCGGCGCGAAACGCACTGGAGCATCTCCACGAGGAGCTCGCAGGTGACGACGAGTATGGAGTCGGCGTCACAAGAAGTTGGCAGTTGGTGCATTCTAACTGATCCAGGGTGATCGAGGTAATGTTGGAGGACTACTCGTCGTCGTTGTCGCCGAGCTGCTGCATGATGCGCCGGTACTATGGATGCAGAAGCGTCCCAGACTATTACTGAGGACGGAGTGGCAGTAGTATTAGTTGGACTTGGTGCTATGGAGTTGTAATTGGAAGATTTGGGACTGCCTTATGTGCGGATGCATCGGTCGATGTGTCAAGCGTGTCAAAATAGAGAAAATCTGGTCTACTGGACGGAACTTTGGTCTTAGTAAATTGATCATCTGCAAAGTATTAGAGCCACTTACCTTGTTCGTACCGTCACAAACTGAAGAGCACCGCTGGCGCCTTCAAGGTACTGTAACTTGGGATCGATTGCCGCTACAAGCTGCGTCCAGTCGCACGGTACAGCAAAATCCCTCTAGGTCAGCCGTCAATTCGTCGCCTCGTTGAAAGTTACTGTATCGTCAGCTTCAGTGTCAATTAGAGCACTTCAATATAGAACACATACTTTTGTGTAGCGTTTCTTTCAGATTATTAGACTATACCTGAGACACGCCAGTTGTCCGTAGGCTGAGGCCGGCGTCCATTCCAGAGGACCTTGCGATATGACTTCCTCACTTCTAGTTGCTCCCGATGGCATCTTTGGTGATTCTGTCATCCCGTCCTTCTTCACAGCGTGCCTCTGGCGGCTTCTCTCATTTCTGGGGGGAAGATGCTAGTAACCAACTGGAGACGCATTATTGTAATCCCCTTAAGAATCAGTGCGCCGAAGCTATTGTCTCTGTCGGCGATAAGATCAGAAACTGGATGCGTTATAGATGGAATACCTTCCTTTTCTGACTGTTTCTGTAAGCTGGTCAGCGGACACGGCCTGCTCCAATCTCGTGGTGATTCGAGTAAACATGTTGGCTCTCAATCAATTATGGACGCTTGCTTTTCTCAATCGCTCAAGTTTAGTATATAGCAGATATTTAAGTTAGGTTGGAGCGAGGCTGTTGATCCATCAGCTCCGAACTCTGTCTGAGAATTATCCATCTCCAGACCGGTCAAAGAGCTAAACGAACAATCTCTACCCGTAATAGCAAAAGAGTTAGGTTTATGAGCCATGGTAAGTCATGAGAAAGTGTCAGAAGGTGTATCAGTGCCTCTTAGATGGAGGAGCTCTCGTGAATACAGTGAAAAGGCACCTTTGTTAGACGCTCCCAGTTTAGCCTACTGTGAGTAAACATAAACCTGGCATTCAGTCGCACTTTAACCGACATCCAAAGCCTTAAGCGCTAGAGATAAGTAACGAGATGCTAATGACAGGATCAACTATCTGCGAAATATAGTCGATATCTCATGAAGCAAGGTTGATGCTCATTCTGACCGTGCTGTGGTCACTACTATAGCAGCGATATCACATAGAAGCCACCGGTGAAAGCCTCCGGCGTATTCTAAACTGCATATGCTGTACGATGTAATATCCACCCTCTCGCATACTGCAAGTCTGCACGCCATATCCTGTCGTCTCTGTTTCTTTAAATAGACTATCAACAATAGTCGATATGCCCTGAAAATTCATCAGCCAGCTGCAAACCTGCTCGCTGCTGTAGTCTTAACTCTCTATCATGTCTCGTTTACGCAGCGTCTCGGTGATAGATGGTCCTTTTGCATGATGTCTTCTTATCGAATGTCGCTTACACTCGCACCTAGTACTTTCTCCATGAGTGTTGATCTTGGACCCGCAGACGAGGCGGGACGATACTCATTCCTCGAATGATACTAAACAGCCAAGAATCGCTCCGTAGTGTTCATCTTGGACCGGCAGACGACGGCCGAAGCTCGAACAGCCAAGCACTCAATAGCATTAATGCCTCATAGTGTGAAACTAGAGGCAGGGCAAACTATCACGGTGCACGTAGGCGGTCACGCAAGTCTGATACACAAGGACGTATGATTAGACATGGAAAGACCGCTGTCTTGGATATAACTCTCCGATATAGGACAGGATCAGTAGATGCCTCTGCGAGCTACAGAGTATACTTTGATGCGCGGAGAATATTGGACACCGGCAGTTGGGGGACAACCGCTGCCGTGTTGGGCTGAGAAGTTTCTGCACTCTAGTACTCTGTACGGAGTATCTGGTAGTTGATTCTCTCGCTTCGGAATGGCCAGTCCCGAGTGATAAATTTCAGGCTTTCAGCTGTGCAAATCATCTCGGAAGCTAGTACTGCGCTGATCGTCCCGTCTCTTTTGTTTTCTGTGTAGTTCTATTCTTCCCAGTCTTGGCGGTTTATCACTGCCCCTGTACGACGCAGCGCGCATGCCCTAGACGCATGTATGTGGAAAGATCGGTCAGAATTCGGCCAACGTTGCTTGCCAGCCTGGTACTAGGCAGACAAGAGGTCTCAGATTCTCAGTGCAATAATTCAAAGACTATGAATATAGCAGACGTGTCTCTGCTAGGTAGATTCTGTATGGTTATTGGTCCCTGATACTCAATTATAGATGTGTGGAGCTGATCGACTTTCCGATGTCTATACCCCGCCATATTCATGTAGTCGTAACTGCCTGCAGGAAAGGAATTACACTCTGCTCTCCTCAGCTACGGCAGTGCCGTACCTATCCACAGAATGTATAGCCAGAGACCTCGATTTGAACGGCTAACACTTCCCAACTTCCCGAGCAACTGCGGCAGGAAGGGATGGATATGTAAAGCTTGCTACAAAAGAGTAGTGATCTCGATGCATCCTTAGCATGACGAACACGCTGGATCTACGGAGTAGTCAAGGTTCGCCCTGTAAATTCGTCGCCGTTGTGGTAATACTCCGTGTATGCATCCCATTGAACGAAGGGAACAAGCACATTCAATCGATCCCCCTGTCTTAGCCGGCGAGAACTGAGAAGCAGGTAAAATGGCCGCTGTGCTATCTGATAGGCTGGGGTAATGGAACAATGGTTGGCCGGGCTGCGCAAGCCAGCGCGTTGAGTTTCACCGAAACTTGTGGCTTCTTGGAGGAAGGTGGACGTGCAAGGACGCAAGGCTGATAAGGATTTGTTTGTTTATACTCCGTACACAATGTGTATGGACGGATGGCCAGGTTGCAGAAACCATACGCATCCTGCCAAATCAGAACCTCATGATCAGCACCCTGTTTGTTGGCTGCTTGCGTAGAATGCTAGACTTCTGCAGATCCAGAACGTTGAATGACGGCGAAGGGCTGCATGGAAGGGAGGAGATCCGGACTCCGTACTTCTTCAGGAAATCTCTCTCATAATTCCAAGGATGCATCTGTCGTGCAGATTGTTCCTTATCTCGACTCCGCAGATATTAGTAAAACAGATTCGTCTGTGCTGCAATTCCTGCAGCCTAGACACCTGCGTTTAGTCATCCCTCCCCTAGAGTGCAGTCTCCGCAGTCGTTTTCTGTCCTCTGCAGGCTTCGGTCCGCAGCTGAGGAGTTTCACCCCCAGGGTGCTATCCAAGTGGACCTTGGTGTTGAGGAAGATGTCCTTAGCGCTTTGCTCCATTCCTCCCGGCCTATCAGTTTGATCCTTGAGGGATTCACAGCCTCGTTGATCTTAACTTTAGCTTTTGTTTTTCCAGGCTGTGGTTTAGTATGGTCAAGTTCCAGACGCAGACAGGCTATGGCATAGTTGGCACCAGCATCCGGAGAGTTCCGAATGTCTAGTAAGCGAACCTATAGATCGACATCAGACAGGGAATACCAATTACCAAATGAGGCGGTCCTTCATATAGAAAGGTTTTGCCACTAGTTTAGTTTGATGACAAGATCTTGGGTAAGCATGGTTGGGCTTGTAAGCCCGGGGACGGCACCATTCATTTCCGGACGAGTATAAGACAGTGAGGCCATCTGAATAAAACGTGTTTCAGAGTTCGGTTTGCTTAATGAGCATATGCTATGAGTCTGGACTGTGGGAATCCTCCACTGTGTCGTCGGGATCCGCGGGCTAAAAAGGGGGCCGTTATTCAGGCACGATTCCATTTGGACCATTCTCGGCCCAACCATGGATTCACCTGTAGCTTTGGCGATGTTAGTTTGACTGTTAGATGATGATTCGTCGCCTGGCAATTGCCAATTCGACTACGGACGTTAAGCCGTCGATTCCAAGACTACGGTTGCTTCGCAACGTGGGCTAGTCTGAGACAGTGTACCAGACGGGTAGATACATATTCAGCAAGCTGGTGAAACGCCCTCTGGATGCACTATCAGACCATGTGGCAGTGCAGATCCGGTGGGCAAGACGACCAGAATTCGGCCGTGAAGATAGATAACTAATCTTCTCCGTAGATGATTGACCATCCACAACCCCCCGTTTAATTAAACTTTCGACATTGGGCAGACTGGTGATGATCGCCGCCTGCTGATCAGTCCTTGGCCAAATGAGGCAGTGTGATACCTTATGACCACAGTCGCTGGTCAATGATGATGAAATCAAAATAGTAGTATTTAACATCCGGTTTATCTGAATCTGGTTGTGACTGAACCATTGCTGCGCCTTCGACTCGAGATAGTACGACTACTCCGTAATCGGCCCAATAATGGTCCATCTCTGGAAACGTACTCGAACAAAGCCAAAACCAGTGTCCAGACAGGCACTCAGGATCGATAAAAGCGCAACGGCATGTGGAGGTCAAGTCGATCGCCTGATCCTGAATCCTCAGTAGCGACGGGACGGAGGCTTGAACAGAGTTGCCTACCAGCCGTGTCTTGAAAGGCCAAGCTGCTATTGGTAATTCCCAAGCCATGGCTGTGCAAACTTCCGCTAGTCCTGTAAACAGTCTGGAAGCGATTCTGGAGTAACCAGCGGATCCCTGTGACCAACAGTACTCCGTAGTCCACAGATATTCACGAAACATGAAGACTGGAATTCTATTCCATGGTGCATGAGCCAATCAGGTTGCGTTTTCGGATGGGCTCCGCCGAAGCCCCCGTTTCTATCTCCATTGGAGATGCGGACGAACCAGGTCCGTTGTGGGGGGTGACGGAGGCCCGGAGAAGAATGGCATATGTTTGGCCCTTTTTCTCCTCCTTTAACTTTCTGCAGACCGCGTTTTACTGAGAATCGTTAGCAAGCTTTTTGATGATTTCCGCTTTGGGAATTCATATATCCCGACGTTAAGGGTCGCATGATTGCTAGGAAAGCAGATAGCTAGCCATGTGCCGACACCAAACTTTCCACGATTCGAGTCGACTTCACTGCTTGGTAATAATTTGAATGTTTACCTTATGTGCTTGGTAATCGAATAATGTATACCTGAGACTTCTTGACGACTTGGTGATTGGGGAGATACTCTCCCCACGGTCTCCGCTGTACTGCCCGAGCAGAAATACAGATACTATCTGCTTTGTACATATTATTCCGTAAAGGGGTAATAGTATAGAGAGTGATGATTGGACTCAGGATCTGAACTGGACTGACCCTTGACTGCTTCTGGAAGCGATTCGCTACTTTCTCGGAGGAAGGACCGTTTCCCGCCCAAGGCGCTTCGATCGACTTTTCCCGTCAATGCTTCGATGTTGGTGGTGGTGGATAGGACATGTCATTATTGACTTTGCCCAACCCAAAAAGGACTCCAATGATTCCATGAAATGATCATGGCAAATACTCGCTTCGAGCAATGCCCCAGTAAAGAGCCTTTTTAGATCTTCACCGGAATTGCCAGGAAGGGCCTTTTTAGCCCCATAGGAAAGTTTAGTTACTACCTTGCTTTATACCTAATCAGTAACCACGGGTACCTTTGCAATCCACGTTCGTCATCATCATCGCCGCCGGTATCGTCCGGTCTATACGTGCGGAGCGCTGCGTATGGCTCTAGATAGATACACTGAGGTATGAGTATGAGTGCTGTATCGATAACTATCGTGATGCTCAATATGTAACTCTAAGTAAGGCTCCTCCAGTGATAGGTCGCTCAGGGAACTGGGAAAGGTTACGGAAACACAGGTAGTCAGCCACTTTTCTCTATTTGACTATCCGTTGAACGCCATTTTGCCCGGAGAAATCGAATCTGAAAAGGATGATTAAGAACAAGGCGGGAAAGTAATGACACATCTGGAACCTTTGTCTTGAATCATTCCGTATCCCCACGGCAAAATTGCTCAGTGGCTGGCTACAGCGAAACTTTTGGGGGCCAAAATAGAACTGCGCAAAAGTCCTCTGCATATGGCAGCGTTTAAAGATTGGGAAAAAAAAAAAAAAAAAAAAAAAAAAGAAATTACAGACCGAAATTGGCAATGTTAATATACCCGTCAGAGAAAAAGAAGTCGTTCATACATATGATGGGCACTACTTCAGCTTGGAATCTGTCGGTATGGATACCATTTCCAGGCGCTCTTCGAACGGCATGGATTGGACCGGCTTTCCCAGTAGTCAGGCAATAACGAGCCTGGTCTTATCGCCATGTGGTTTGGATCGTCAACACCCTGTAAGATTAATCTATTAAGTCACGAATAGTCGAGAACACCCGCGAGGCCATCCTCCTGGCTGACCCATTTTCGACAAGTAGAATTGCACTACTACCAGCTTGGTTCCATAACCCGTCTCTATTTGGATCGAAGAAACAGACGGGAGGTGCAGCATGTTCATCCTGGCCCCCAAAACTAACCATCAGCAACCAATCGCAGTCCTCAAAAATGGAATGCTGTGGGAATCATTCAATGGAAATGAATTCGAACACTTTCCAACTCGTGGCGCTCGTTAGCCTCTTGGGGCTGAAATTATTCTCGTTCCTTCGGAATAAAAGCGCTTACTCCTGGTTCATCTTTTCAGGAGCTTGTTTCACTTCAACGGTTGCGAAGCTATCTGTACACCCGATGTCGTCGTATGGTTGTTGTGGGTCTCTGTGGGCTTTCCGACTCTGTCAAGTAAATAGAGGCTGAGGGTAACGACGTAGGTCCAGGCATCGAGCAGATCATTGCAACGGGGATCTGCTCGTGGCATAGAAAAGAACGGATCGACATCGCACTCAGCACTATTCAGTCTTTGGTTGAGAAGCGGGTCCGCGTCGCCGTTAACAGGTGTAAAGTCAAACAGAAAGAAAATACAGAATCCAGTAGAGGACAGACGACATGTTACGTAGACCGACTTGCTCAGACAATGCTATTGACGGCCAGAAAGCAAGAACCAGTCAAAAGAGTACGGATGATGTTGGTTGAGCTGTTTGGGTAGAAGAGCGCATGTCGGAAGCCGTGGCAGGGACCCTGGGATGCTTACTTTGGACTTGAAGGGCAATGACCACGTACTAGACAGATACCGGAGTAGTATTGATTCTAGTACTAAGATTGAGGATTCAACCTAATCAGAAGCTGAGTATCCATCCTCCCGTCTAGATCCCCCGGTTCCATTGCGCTTAATTCCATATCTGTTTAACATACATTTAATCCACTCCCCCCAGGACTCTTGAATATCTATTTTCTCACCCTACTTTCCATGCCTTGAGCAGCTTAAGCTTGGGAACATTACCGGACCACTTCACCGGCTTATTCTTTCTGTGTTTATATGTACCTGCAACTCTTGCTGACTTGAGACTCACCGTACACTCCGACTTCGGTTTCTTCACCTTCGTCCCTCTTATTTAGTCCATATTCTATATGTTTCCACAGTTTCTTCGTGCCAGTGCTCTTGTCGACTTGCGTCTCTTTTTCCAAAACCCTCTGGCTCGACTACATCTCGCTGCACTGTTTCTCTGGTATCTGGGAAGAAGGATATCGTATACAGTCCCCTCACCAACAGCGCTTATCCACACGACAGTCATACAGCGGCTCCTCGGCAATACGAACGTGCAAGCCTCTCTCATTCTAAGCCACGATTAAGCGATTGATTACGCATCACTTTTCGGTTGCCTCTGTCGCACTGTGTCATACTCCGACGACACCATCTTGCGCTACTTGCTGTGTATCCAGCTAAAATTGCTGTCAATCTGTCTCTGATTGCTGGGAAGTCAGCTTGACCTTCCAAGCAAGTAGAACAGCTCAAAGCTGGTTTTACTATCAGCCTATTGTTAAGAATCTTTTAATAAGAGTCCCGGACTACGTGTCTCTCGCCTGGCGCAGTTCAAGCTCAGTCCAAGTATGGCACAAAACACGCAGAGTACGCCACGTCCCAGGCCATCCGTTTCGTATTTTACCAGTCTAACTGACGACAGGCTATGGCTGGCACAACCGGTCATCACACCCTTTGCAGTCGCCTTCAATAGGCGTTGATCAGCAGCTATGCTCGCCTCCGCCGACGCTTCCGCCGGCTGGTTTTGCAGTTGGGTACAATCCCCAACAGAGCTCGCAAAGCTACTATCACCCAGCATCCCCTTCACAACATCTCTCACAATCAAATCTTCCACATGATCCACACGGGCCTAGAAGGCAAGCTGACCCTATCTATCAGTGTTCTAGTTTAGGCATGAAAGGCTAACCATGTTAATAGTTCAGCTCTACCATACGCCTTCCCTTCTCTTTCGGGGAGCCCTCCAGCGCTTCCAGATCATGGATATGCTTCAGCGTAAGTTGTTCTGAGGAGTTGGAAGTAATTGAGTGGTTTACTGACCCTGTTAGTCCACCATACATGCTCCAGCAATCAAATTACATGCTGAGTCAAAGTCCCTTACTTCCGTAAGTATCCCTCAACAAACATCAGCTTTCAACTGGCCATCAGCTGACTGAACTGTCTATTGTAGGCCACATCCGAACCCAATGTCCGTCAGTCCTCCAGCGCACATTGTTCCGCCGGGAGAGTCCTTATATTCGTCTCCCGAATCCGTCCCTGCATCCTCAGACGTGGACCGCCAAGTACGAGTAATCAGCTCTCGGCCAAAGCCACAATGTTGGGACCATGGATGCAATGGTCGTGAGTTCTCAACCTTCAGCAACCTACTCCGTCATCAACGAGAGAAATCGGGGGTGGTTGCAAAGGCAGAATGCCCGAGTTGCGGTGCTGTCTTTACTCGCACAACAGCCCGCAATATCCACGTTGCGCAGGGAAAGTGCAAAAGTGGAAGGGAGTCATCAACAGATTAATATTGATTGATATTTCATAGCCCAGCGTTTAGTACCTCTTTATTATTTATGATACCAAGCCTTGCTCACAGCCGACCGCATCGTGACCTCAGAATCAAGTCCTAAACGCATCGAAGATCAGATGACTGAGGCACTCAAAGTTCTCCTTTTTCTTTACATCATGCCAGACAACTCCAAGGATCAGGCGCAGAGAATGTGAAAGTTCATGATCATCATTCATCAAGTGGTATTTAGGGAATTTTTCATTTGGGAATTTGGGTTAGCGATGAGCCTGTATCACCACATTGAAGAAGAGTACTCCGTCCACAGACTGGTTAGAATAGCTGTTGAAAACAAAACAACGAACAATAATTGACAGGCCATATTTCAAAAGAACTTCATCCTCTGTAGATCAATCCAGAAACTCCCAGAGGACACACTAGTCAGTAGTCTACACTGTACCGAGTATGTTCTTAGTTCAGGAAACCAAGAGTCGATGCACGTGGTGCTTACCTCACCAATCACCTGATCTCGCCGTGTCATAAGTGTACATATTGGATGGAATCATGACTAGGCGGACTATCAGTATGTCAAGCACTTGTGACTCATTCTGTGCCATCAGGATGTCGTCCGCTTTGTAGCTCAATTCTCAAATTGCGATTGACCTGGATTCTTCCCAGCTGCTCACCAGAAGAACTCCTGTCTCTTCATCCTCGTGGCTGTTTTGAGCCTACTGTTTTTATTGTCTCGATCGCATTATTCTTCGATTCGCAAGATGACTATATCAATACAGAAACTTCTCCGCATATGTGAAAATCACTTCGCTCATCGACATATAGTTAAACTTTTGAATGTGCGCATATTGAAACTTCGACTGATACGAATATAAGGGTCCTTTTATTTGGCTTAAGGCCAAATATTTCGGAGACTGTTATCCCTTTCCCTGTTTTGCTCATTCAACGCGGGTCAAATCAAGTTTGTAAATCATGGCATCTATTTTCACCTATGACCCTGACCCTCCAAGGGTCTCTTCTCCTTGGTCGACGTCGGGGTCGTCTACTCCCCAGCTTACGGCGAGTGGGAATCGTGGCCTGACGATCCGGACGCGTTCTGGCACGGAATTGGACCGTGCGGATCCAGACTTTCTGTCTGACTATGGGATCACGAAACTGGAGCCGGAACCACAAGAGGGACCCACTGAGTACAAGCTGCATCTACTTCTGCGGCCCCGTCGTCTCTACAATTCCATGACCACTGGTCATGTGGTTGGCGGTTCGTACCATTCTCGTGCAAGTTTGTCCACCTCAGGACCGACACCGTCCAGCTACGAGTCAAACTTGAGATCGGCTCAGGTGCGCTCAACGCAGAGCCGCCAGCAACGCCTGCAGCAGCTAACAACTCAATTGTTGTGGCGCCTGCAACAATCGTCACCGTTTCATTCGTCCACAACTGCCAACCTTGTGTTGCCTGTTCTTCCTGAAGCAACCCCTCAGCTTGGCACCCCGCAGAAACCAGCTCGTTTAATTCCTGGTTTGGAGGAGAGTCAGGGTGCTTTGTACGAGATTGGTGTGGCCGATGATGGGACCTTTGTTGGTCTAACGCAAGATGAGCTCGACGAGAGCTTGACCAATCTGCAGATCATGGCGGCTAGTTTGGGTTGTAAGGTCGAGATTCTTCGCAGAGTCATTGTCGGCAAATGTGAATGGGCTGAATGGCCGGAAGACACAAGTGCTGAAGCAGCCGATACCGGCCGAGTTCACACAGAAAGCCTCTGGGTCGCTGAAGCCCTCGTCAGTCCGGATTTGGAGTACTACGGCTTGATATCGCATCGCGACGAATTTGGTGGGCAGCCTCCCTCGCACGGTACCCAAACAAAGTCTATGCGCGAGGACAACTATTCCACGACCGAACAGATTCGGATCTCAATTTCTGGTCCGAGTGCAGCCGGCAAGTCGTCCCTGTTGGGTACTCTGACTTCATCTATACTCGACAATGGGCGAGGGGCAAGTCGACTGAGCCTTCTCAAACACCGCCACGAGATTTCGTCGGGAATCACGAGCTCTGTTGCCCAGGAACTCATAGGCTATGCGACTGGAGAGTCAATACAAGATCCGGTTGAGGTGATCAACTATGCGTCTGGAAACGTTGCAGCTTGGGACGACATTCATGCCACGGCGAAGGATAATCGTCTGGCATTTGTGTCGGACCTCCCTGGCTCTGTACGCTACCTCAAGTCTACCTTGAGAGGATTGATTAGCTGGGCACCTCACTATGTGTTGCTCTGTATCCCGGCCAATTGTGACGAAGAAATGGTCCCGGAACCTGTCTGTGGCACTGCAGAACAGATGACAGAAATCAATCTGGCTCTGTCACACTTGGATCTCTGTATCAAGTCGGGGATACCCACCGTGGTCGTGATCACCAAGATGGATGTTGCATCCCGAGCAGGCTTGCGGGGCAATCTCACGAAAGTCTTGTCAGCGCTGAAGCTGGCAGGCAAAAAGCCTGCTATGTTGCCTGTGCAATCCGCTACTGGTGAACAGGACGTGGACCTTCAACACATCTGCCGGACTGATGCAGATGAAGTCAAGAAAGTCATTGATGCAGCGAATAATGACTGGTCATCGACAGTTCCGATTGTTCTCACAAGCGCTGTCAGCGGTACAGGCGTAGGGAAGCTGCATGCTTTTCTCCGATATCTTCCTATCCCTCAAAAGCCGTCCTTAAGGAGCATCGTTCTAGGCGAGACATCGTCAGATACGCATATTCCCGCAAATTTGTTCGATATTGATGAAGTGTTTACCATTCCCCCATCCAAAGTCTACTCCACGTCGATGGAGCAGAACGCAAGGGAAGATCAAGGCGTTGTTCTATGCGGATTGGTTCGTTACGGGTCTATCTCGGTGGGAGACGAACTCTTGGTTGGACCGCTCCTGGTCAATCCACAGGCCGAGCCTGAGAATCTCTTGTCAGCCCCAAGAAGCCAATCAGGCCGAAGCAGACCGCCATCCGAGGAGTTTTCTACGTCTTTTTCACAGGGATTTCTGTCCGGAAAAGCGACTTTCCCCGCTCAAGCAATCTGGCAACGTGTGCGAGTCGTCAGTGTTCGGAACCTGCGGTTACCGGTGCGAACTCTCAACCAAGATCAGGTCGGCACGATCGGTATTGAGCTCCTTTTAACTCAAAACGAGCGCACTCCGCGTTTGGGAAAGGTACGAAAGGGGGCTGTCCTAGCCGACTTTGGGCCCAGCGGCTCGCCCGCAAAACCCTCGCTTTTCCACACTGGATTTGTTGCTAGCTTCCCCGCCAGCGAGTTTACGTCGTCCATGTCTCCGCCTCTACTGCTAGGTGGCAACGCTATTGCCTATGTTTCCAATATTCGGGCTACTGTGAAGGTGACTTGCGTTACTCTTGCAGAGGATGAGATTATATCTTCTCCGCCATCGCCTACGGAGCCGGACTTCTTCAGCTTTGACAGCGATGCTGTTGATCGTGGGAAGGAACATGCATCAGAAGTGACTAATGTGGTCAATTCGGCGAAGAATACAAGTCATGGAGATGTCAAAATCTCATTCTCCTTTGTTACGTCGGTCGAATGGGTAGAATCCGGTTCTCGTGTGCTTGTCATACCTGGGTCTTCTACAGTGTTGTCCCCTGCGCAAGGCTCCGCACCACCTCTTGGTCTTGGGGGCTTTGTGGGTAGAGTCTGCAATGTCGTGTCTTCGGAACTACAGGAGAGTAAATGATACTCGGGAAGACTAGGTTCCAATTGTTCTTTTTTGGAGTTGTATTTGTTTGCATTAATTTGTCAGTTAAATTCTCAACTTGTTCATAGGGTCTTTAGGAAATGACGTCTGCGGTAAGTCAGTAGTGGCACGTGCTGGACTTGGGTACGCTAGCCTGACTGCCTGAGGCCACTGGTTACGACTAGCTCTTCGCTTGGACACTGTACTTCGAACTATGAGTGATTTGTGATGCCATTCTCCTCTCGGTTGTGTTTCTTCAAATTCTCTCCTTCCCCTCGACTTGAGCGGTCGCTACGACTGCTGTGAAAACCCTCTTCCTGTAATGACAAATGAGTGGGAATTGCAATATTCCGCATCTGGAACTGTTTTCCTTCACATCGTCTTAAAAAGATACGTTTTTTTCGATCATACAATCTTGAGCTTGACAAATGGTGAACGTTGAGCCTCCTCATCCTGAAAGTCCTATCTCTCCAGCCATATCAGACATTGAAGATCCTACCACTCCGCCCATTTTGACCAGATTAAGGGAGCTCTCACTGTCTCCAGACGAGGGAGACGCTGTTTCTGATGAAGAAGCATCAAATGAAATGCTCGCACAGTATAAGCCTCGAAATACAAGAGATGAGACAGTCAGAATACTCAGGAGCTTTATCGACAATTTGCCCGTGAAAAGTAAGAGAGTGTTGACCAAGTACATCAATGTCAGCAATGATGACAATTTATTCGATCTGGCTCATCATCTCCAGACGGCAATTCTAATACCGAGTACGTATATTATACTATACCCCCTTTTTTTTGTTTTTGTTTCTACTATAGTGTGGCTAACATTTCTTTCTCACAGTGAGGGCACAAGGTGGGAAGACGCCACGGGTCACTGAGTCACCCTTGTCAGCAACAGATAATACAAGAGATAATGTGGCGTCTGAAATGACGCAGTCGAGTACTAGAAGAAATCATCTAGAATGGCTGAAGAAAACCTGCTTGGAGCGTGACAACTACCAGTGTGTTGTGACAAAGTTGTGGGATCCTATAGCTGAGCCTATCTTTAACCTTCAGGAACAAGGCAAGATGACTGCCAACACTCGACTGGTGCATATAATCCCATTTTCTATGGGATGCTGGGACAATGATTGGAAGGTTAGTTTCTATCCCCAGTATAGTTAAGGACTTTCTAAAGAAAGTACTTTAGGCGAAGGAAATCGCCCAATCTTGGGAGACCTTATACCTCTTATTTCCCGACATCCAAGAGATTATCAAGCCCATTACAATCAACTCCCCCGCAAATGCGATGACCATGAACACAGTTGTCCATGAAGATTTTGGCAGTTTCAAGATTGCACTCATACCAACAGTATGTGTTTCTCCAAATCATAAAATTATTATATACTTACTTGACCAGGACACAGATAGCACATATAGGATTAAGACATACCCACTGCATCAGACTCTCGTTGACCAATTCTATGAGAAGCCCATAACCTTCACCACGCACAGCGGCTCGGAATTGCCTAGTAAAGTCCTTCTTGAAACTCATGCTGTGATCGCGGAGATTCTACATGCGTCGGGGCAGGGGGAGGAGAAAATTGATGAACTCCTCCGCAAGTGGGACGATATTGGATGCCTGGCATCTGATGGAAGTACGGATCTCGAGAGCCTTCTTTTGTTGGTGAGTCAGTGAGTGTGCATTAGGAGTTAGGATTACCGTCAGAGACTGGCAAGATGCTCGAGACACTGGTTGTCCTGGCTGTGGCTCGCATGGTGATTTTGTCAGTTATCTGTCATAGAGTTAGATTCTCGACTTTTTTACGTAGTGTCCTCAAGTATTGACGTCTCCACTAAGTCAGTAGTGACGTGCAGGCCCGGGGTAAGCTAGCCTTACTGCCTGGGGCCACTCAGTTACAACTAGTGAATAATCTATGAAGCTTCAGTTGTGTTTCTGCATTCCCTCCCTAAACTTAAACAGTCGGTACAACTCCTGTGGACATTTTCTCCCTGTAACACTAATAATCAATTGGCAACGAACAATAATTGCAATATTCCCGCATCTGGAACTATTTCCCTTCATACATCTTGAATAGACACGTTCTGTCGATCATACCTACGATATCGAGCCTGGCAATGGCGAACGTCGACGCTTCTACGGAGTAGTCCTGTCAGTACTCTCTCTTCAGCGATATCGATGGAAGATCCGAGTCCGACTCCGGAACCTGAATCTATTGTTTCTGCATTACGAGCAATATCGAAATCCCCCGACTTGGCTGATCCTGCTGTTGAAGCAGACTTGTTCTGTGCAAAGCTTTCAGGATATAACCCACCCCCCCAATGGAAAAGGTCAGATGGTCCAAATTCTTCAGAGTTTCGTTGACCATTTGCCGCCCTGCGGCAAACGCGTAGTCATGAAGTTTGTCGTCTCCAATGGGGACGACAAACTTCACGGCCGTGCTGATTCCGTGTATGTATCTTCATTCCGTTATCCTACAATGTTCCTTTTCTCGTGCCTACCATATTGTGGCTAATATTTCTTTCTGTCTAACAGTGAGAGCGCGAGGTGGTAAAATGCCGCAAGTATCAGAATCACCTTTCTCTGACACTGAGTCGTGCTCACAAATGGAGCAACGGTCTCTGAAGGAGCTATGCCTAAAACGGGAGGCCTACCAATGCATGGTTAATGGTATATGGGACCGTCATGCTATGCATAGACGCCCCAAGTCAAAAGGGGAAACCCGAATTAGCACATATCATACCATTCTCTATGGGAAAATGGGAAGATGCTGATGAGGTTAGTTCATCCCTAGTACAGTTAAGGAAGGACTTTCTCAATAAGGTACTTTAGAAGAAAGCCATCGCGCAGTCTTGGGAGACACTCTATATTTTATTTCCTGATCTTCACGGCGTTCTCAAACCATCGGATGTAAACAGCCCGCAAAATGCCATGACGATGTTGTCTCCGCTCCACTCAAGATGGTGATCAGCTCATCACCTTTAATCAGCATGCAGATTATGAGCTACCAAGCCCGGTACTCCTTGCCACACAACGGCGATTACTGAGATCCTCCATGCCTCTGGGCAGGCTGAGCAGCTCTATGAGCTTTTACATGATTGGGCTACAATTTGCTGTCTGGCGTCAGATGGCAGTACGGATCTTCAAAGCCTCCTGTCACTAGTACGTGTCCATTGGGGGCTTACTATACGGCCGCGCAACGCTGGTGATGGCCTGTCTGTCGGAGCGTTGCAGATCTTGGATATCGTGACTATACGACACGAGGTCGGGATCGGCTACATCGAAATTCAATCCAAGTGCTATGACATTGTCGAGACAAGCGCGGCGACAAGGATGACGGCCTAAATGATACAGACGATAGGCACAGCGAAGGGCTTGTTCCAGGGGGCGGCCCGTGGCCAGCCTCGGACATGAATGAGAGCGAGGATGAAGATGGGATGGACAGCGTCATGGAGTCGAGCTCAGAGCTGTCCGACTACGGTACTTCATCCGATGATGAATCCAGCTCTGACTGTACTCGATCCCGGATGACGTTCAGCTCAGGATATCTTGTTTTATGATGATAAAATAGCCATTTTAAAGCGCGGCACGGTGTTCTGTAAGGATGTTTCGGAGAATGTTGACGCTGGTGTGGACTGGCTTGTTCTTTTTTGTACGAGATACCATTTAGCGATGAGTCAAGATCAATATGATGAAAGCACACTTTTTCTACGGACGACATGCCAGTCTTTCTAGAAATGCCTGTGGAGCTCGTACAAGATCGTGGTCACGAACTCACGATTCACGAAACGGATAGTTTGAGAATTGAGTCACGTGCTCTAAAGCTTCGCCATTCCTCGCAGGATCAGCTTGAGCCGCGATCACTTTTGGGACATCAATTCGCAAGAGACTTGGCGGAGACAACTGCCACTCTTCCTGGTCAACTCTTCATTTACCTCGTCTTTTTCAGCTACATTTCTTTGTTCACAGCTTTCAGTCAAAAGAATCTGTGTGTTTTAATATCCGTCAACATGAAGCTCGTTCGGTGAGTACATTGCAGTAGATTGTAGTCTCTCACTGGGACGGCTGGCTACAAGAAGAGGAACTGACGTTCGGCTTTCCCAGGTTTTTGATGAAATGCGCCAATGAAACGGTGACGATTGAACTGAAGAATGGTCGGTCCTCCTTGTCACATGGCGATTGGGCTGGCCTCCAGCCGGTGTTCACGACCACGCCGTGACTTGACATTGGCGCGACTGACATCCTCTGGATTTAAACAGGCACAATCCTCCACGGCACCATCACCGCTGTCTCTCCTCAGATGAACACCTCTCTGCGCACCGTCAAAATGACACCCAAGGGCCGCGATCCCATCTCCCTAGACACGATCAACATCCGCGGCTCCACGATCCGGTACTACATCCTCCCCGACAGCTTGCCTCTCGATACCCTGCTCGTGGACGACCAGCCGAAACCCAAGAACAAGGCGCGCAAGGAGACGGATCGGGGCCGCGGTCGCGGTGGTGGTGCACGGGGCGGTAGAGGCCGGGGACGCGGCCGGGGACGGGGACGTGGTTTCTAGACGGGCACTGTGGCTAGGTTCTTTTCCGTCGATGGCTTCGGGAGTTTACTTGTTTTTTTCTTTCATGTTCGTGATATGTTTGGGTGACATTCTCTTCTTTATGCTCTTGTGATGATGGGCGAAGAAAAGCAATAATCTACGACTTTTCCGTTGAGCTTCTTGGTTGAGGGGGAATGTCCCAGCAAGCAGAGTGGTGACCGTGGATCCGAGGGCAGATACGGTTGCATTGTGAGCGGTGTTACAAAGACGTCTGTGAAGACCAGCAACAGTCCTCATCCGGGCAATTGGCAACGAGGCCGATATGGTCGAGAAAGTCAATGGACACAGTTCAGACGAATATGATCGTGGTGCCAGATAGCTACGGCATGTCATGGAAGGTACGGCAGTGCCTCACACCTGTACCTACATCAATTCAATTGGCATTGAATCAAGACCTGAATTTGGATAAGCGCTCGCCAGTATGCATGTCGTAATGGGTATATAGCACTATTGAGAAATATCCCTCCATATCCTCACAATCACCAACTTCTCCCAACCAGCCTGCGTCCCACTATTCCCAACCGACTCGGCCTTCCACCCCCCTCCCCACCCCCGTATCCTCTCCTTGACCTCCTCCGGCCGGTTCTGCGCACAGAGCAGCACATACGCTACCCCACGCTCGGGATGCAACACGCCCGGAACCGCCTCAAGCAACCGATTCGTCGTCTCCATCCCATCCATTCCCCCCGCATACGTTAACGACAGGTAATACGAGTCCCGCTCGAACTTGGCCGATCTTGACAGCGGCTCCGCTGCGGGATCGGCCTCCTGCTCCGTCACCAAGGGCAGACGCGGCAGTTCCTCCGTCGGCACATACGGCGGGTTGAAGAGGAGGACGTCGACGGAGCCCGGGCGCAGGGGGCTGCAGAGATCACCCAGCACCGAGGCGACATGTGTGGATTTCAGGGCTGCGGCTGCTTGGATGGCTGTTTTTACCGTAGTGCGGGTGGCGACGCAGGCATTGCGGTTCACGTCTGTGCCGAGGGTGAGGATGTCGCGGCGGCCGAAGATCTCGTGGGAGTTGGCGGCGACGAAGGCGAGGACGACGCCGGAGCCGGTGCCGACTTCGACGACTAGCGGGGTGGTGCTGGTGCTATTGAAGCGCTCGGAGAGCCATTGTGATTCGGAAATGGAGGAGAGCGTGTCGAGGAAGAGGTAGGAGTCTTCGGAGGGTTCGTAGATGGTGTCGAAGGAGACGTGGTCTGTCGATGGGGTGGGGAGCATGTTTGCAGCTTGCAGCCTTGCAGTTTAGTATCGATATCGATAGTGAAGCTATCGGCCCGAAAGGTTTGAGCTCGAAGCTGTCAATCGTCAATTGACGATGTCGCGCTGTCGTACAATGCGTAAATATAGCGCCAGATCAATTGAGATAGCGACCTGACACAATCAGCACTCAATTCCAAGCGAGTCCTCCTTCGCGCAGACTTACCTGCATGGATAATGGAAAAGGTACAACGGTAACTGCTGCGGAATGCCGACCCTATGATTCGCCATCTCCTCGCCGCCTTCCGGGATGCATCTCCAACCGCGGCAGTATCATCATATTCATCGTCATCATACAGTCCTCTATCTCCACGCTCCTTTCCCTCAAGCACTCTCAGGCCACCTACACCATGCGTCTCTTCCACAGATTACTAATGGCCACGCCCTCAACAATGGGCTCCAAATCCAGCCTCAGCGAAGCCCTCGCCCTCCTCCCCCCACTCCACCTCTACCGCCGCATCCTCCGCGTCCACCGCCGCAAGCTCGATCCCGAGATGCGCATCCTGGGCGACTCCTACGTGAAAAGCGAGTTCCGCGCACATAGGAACGTAGAGAATCCGCTGCATATTGTACGATTCCCCTTTTTCCCTCAGGTCAGGTTGAGCAGTGCTAAGGCGGGCAGATCGGCTTCTTGACGGAGTGGCAGCTGTATGCGCAGAAACTGGAGGGTGATGCGTGGGTTGGGGAGAAACTTGATAAGTCGAAGTTGGAGAAGATGAGTGGTGGGTTCTACAGCTACAATCTTATTTTGGGGTTCGGGGTATACTGATGCTGATTTGTGTGTGGTTGTAGATCAGCAGATCGGGCAGCTGTA